CTTGTGCTGAGCCTTTTCTCTGCCACACTTCAACCACGTGCTGTCACTGAATCCGATATTTCTGGGACAGTCGACTATGCACAGAGGGGACGGCGCTCAAGAGAGCTTCAGGCTTCAGCAAATTCTTTCAAGGCCCAGAAGTGCTAGCTGGGAGATCCGCCACCCTCAATGATCCCCCGGTGGTGTGGAAGAATTATTGAAGCTGTCTGAGTGACTCATTCACTCCCAGGGGGTCGTTGGGGCTCAGGGAGAGATCTGTCTCCCTGGTTATTAGTGATTCAGTAACTGGAGCATAGAGATGCCCGTCTGATAACCTGGAGATCTGCCTTGGCTTCACTAGCCAAGGCCTCTATTTCTGGAGGCAAAGGTTACAGGGGCCACGTGTGGGTACTGGGGAAGGGGAGGCGTGCAGAGGACTGCTTCTTTGAACCCGAATCCACCAGTTCCCCATCTGGGGCGTGCCTCAAGCCCTTTGCTGCTTCATTTGCAGCAGGGACAAATGTCCTCTACCCTGCCTCTGGCTCTGAAGGGCCTCGAGGTGTCTGGGGAATGAGTGTCTTCCCACACACCTGCCTGCTTCGGGAGCAACACGACTCAGAGTTCCGGTTTCATCCCCATCGTGAGGGAGACCAGAACTACCGCTTACAGGCACATAGCAAAAACAGAATCTCTCTCTAACACACACACACACACACACACACAACAAAAAACAAAACCGAATTAAGAACTGGCTCACTACCAGGGCTGCATGTCTTCCAGCCCCTTTCCCTGAAATTCCAGGGTTGCTATGAGTACACTTGCTAAAAAATCTTTATGTATTTGTTTGACAGGCAGAGAGACAAAGAGCTCCAATTGCCTGATTCACTCCCCAAACACCTGCAACAGCTGGGGCTGGGCCATGCTGAAGCCAGCAGCCAGGAAGTCAGCCCAGGTCTCCCATGTGGGTGGCACGCACCCGGGTGCTGCAGCCACAACCTGCTGCCCTCCCAGGATGCACACCGGCAGAGAGCTAGAATCAGAAGCAAAGCCAGCTCTGAAAGCCAAGACACTCTGGCAAAAAAAAAAAAAAAAAAATCCTAAATGAAAGATCTCTGTGAGTGAGATCCCAGCAGAAAGAACGGGCCATCAAAGGAGGAGGTACCTTTCTCTGAAGGGAGGAGAGAACTTCCACTTTGACTATGGATTTGTCTCAAAACCAACGGAGTTTGTGAACTCAAGAGGCTTCCATAGCTTTGGCAGCTCATGGCAAGAGCCTTGGGTGATCACTGACGTCATAAATAAGAGTGTCAGTTATTAAATCAACAACAGGAGTCACTGTGCACTTGCTCCCCATGCTGGACCTCTGTCCTTAATGAGGTGTACTATGAGAATTAACGGTAAAACTTGTCATCAAACTGTACATATACTTTGTGTGTCTGTGTGGGTGCAAACTGTTGAAATCTTTACTTAGTACAGAGTTGGTCTTCTGTATATAAAGTCAATTAAAAATCAATCTTAATGGAAAATGGAATGGGAGAGGGAGTGGGAGGTGGGATGGGAGAAGGGGTGGGAGGGCGGGAATGGAGGGAAGAAACACTATACCCCTAAAAGCTGTACATATGAAATTTGTATTCATTAAATCAAAACTTAAAAAAAAAATGGCAGCATAGCCGGGATTCGAACTCAGACTCTCCAACACGTGGAAGTCCCATCATGCAGGTGTTCAGTGTCACACAAAACGCCTGCTTCTTTTTTTTTTTTTTTCCTGTGTGCTGCTTCACAAGCTGACAGTTTGAGAGGTGTAATCTCCTCTTTCTAGTATCCTGTATCTATCCAGCATCCTCTTCATAGTTTTTCTCTATTTCTTCCTTCTCGTATTTTGAATAGAAATAGGACTGCCTTTTGTGCACCTTGCAGATGTGTAGAAAGACAAAGCCCGCCAAACCTGCAGCCCTTTTGGTCTGACAGGTAGATGGATACAATCTGCATGTTCTCCTTTAGCCCTGGTGCTGTGTCAAGTTGGCCTGGGAGAGGCAGCATGGGAGTTCTTTGCAACAAAACTGCCTTGTTACCCTGTTACTCTCCAGACGTCTCATCTGGGGCGCCTTCAGATATTAGCAATCTCACCTGGTGGGTAATTTGCTGGGAAGTCAGCACTCATCTCCCCAGACGATATTTAAAAACCGTAACTCATGCAGAAGTGTAAGGTGGGGACTCACGCTACAGGTTTCAAGGCTGTCTCAGGCCAAGCCAGGAGAAGAGGCATTTATCCGGGAGGCGTCCTTAGCAGTGGCAGGTGGGCAACCCCCGGAGGACAGCCCACAAGCGTTCCTGCCATCAGTGTTTCCTGAATTGCAGGTCCTGCCTCATTAGCAGATCATGAAATCAGTGGAGTGGGTCACGCCCAGGATCTCTACAAAACCTGAAATACATTAGACTAAAGTGGACTGGAACAGAAAACATGAGTGTATGGGCCATGTACCTGGGAGTAAAACTTTTGATCCAGTTGCCTGTGTCTGTGGCGTGTTTGTTACATCGTATCCTAGTGTAAAATGCATTTCCCTCCTGCAGGTCCCAGTTAAAAAACAAACTGAAAGCCACAGCCCTGGTGAGGTCTCAAAGCTGGATTTGATTCCCTTGCTCTGTTTTCGGACTACATTGATAAACGAAAGGAAAACAAATTCTTTCGAATGTGACTAGTCACCTCCCAAGCTGTCCCCAAATAACCCTGAATTCTACATTTTTGTTCTCTGAAAATTAGATCAGTGATTCCTGCTCAAGGCACAGTTTCAAGTGGGTGAGGCCTGTGGCCATATTCCCATGAAAAACTGCACGTGCATTCAACAACAGGATAAATAACTGGGAATGTTCCAATCAGCCCGGTCTCCCAAGGTATTCCTATTTGAGCCGAATATTTAACCCCGTGGCACACAAAAGAATCTCACTGTAGACAGAGGAGGAGGAGGAAATTTAGGGGGAAGAGTATTTTCCCTGCACTCCTCAAATTCTAGCTATATTCATGTGGGAATATTTCCTTTTTTATATAATAATATGCATGATTCCTTTCCTTGTTGATTTATTAAATACATCTTTGTTCTCTTCAGTTGTCTATTTTGTTAAGTATTTTTGTGAAAATGTCTTCTCACAAACTTGGAGAGGGACTATTTTGTCTTATCTCACACCCAACTTAATGGTCGGCAAATTTGAGGCACTTAATTAAGGGTACTGATTAATGGCTTCATTGTTGTACGATTACAGTCCTGTAACATATGTCATACATTGTTTCCCAATGTCAAACTAAGGGACTCCAGCTACAGGGTTTCTTTCTGAATATAACAAAGTATTATGTAAAGACTCTGCAAAGTTTTCACAAAACAGCAATTGTAATAACCACTTAAAGGTCACACCACTTTACTAAGCACGTAGTATATGCCCGCTCCCAGTATGGGCTGCTTTACCCAATATTCTCATTTTTCCCCTTCCAAACTTCCTCAACGTAAGCACTATTATTTCCTCCGAATTCCTCCCCCCCACACACACACATGGTCTGACAGCCTGCTCGTGAAGGCTCGCTTTTTAAACGTTCCAGACACCATGCAGGTCCACCTGACCCCAAAAGCTGTGCTGTCCTCAGTTTACATGACCTAACCTTGCACTTGAGACAGCAGGAGTATCGTTTTCATTTTCAAACACCTTTTCTGTTCTCTTAAGGACATGACTGCAGATGCAAGAATTCCAGGAAAGGTGATTTCTTCTTGTTTATGACACTGTTGTGATTGCCAGGGTGGCTGCACACCCTGGAAACACCTGCCAGGCCACGCTCACTTGATGCATTCTGCCCGATGCCTCCACCTCCAGCCGCATCTCAACTCTCACCGTGGAATAAAGGACAGGAGGATAACGGACGGGTCACACAACGGGGTGCGTGATTGACTTACACAGATCCGTCCAGATAACTTTTGTGTTTCCATGTACAAAGAACAGAGCCCATGAAAAGCGCTATTTCTCAGTTGCCCGTGGCTTGCACACTCCCTAGTCCATCGATCTACACGGGCTGCTTTTTTAGCAGTAGCCCCTGCAATCAAAAGTCTGTTTTTTTTTCCCTTCTCTCGGAGATTTGAAAATCTGCCGCCGTGGAGAAGCAAAAACCACGAGTAGCCACGTCTGCTCTCGTGACAGCAAAAGGAAGATCCAGATTTTTCTAACAGACCACACTCAGCAGTCAAACGCAGGATTCAGTTTTAAAACAGGAATGGAATCACAATCTCCAGTGAAAGCCACTCTCCGATTCCAACTACTACACACCTTTCCCATTTTAATTCAGTCTTAAGTTTCAGGAAATAAAATAATTATGTAGTTAAACATAGATCCTTAAACAAACAGGTGCTGTGTTTACAATGTACCAATCCATTAACATCAATGACACAGAGGAGGAGAACTAAAACCCAAGTCAAGGAGACCAGCACTCCTCACTTGCCCTCTCTGCTCCAGCGACAGTAAACATCCCACTGGAATCTTACCGGAAAACTATGGCTTTCCCAACCTAATGTCAAGGTAAACAGGCAGTAAATACCTAGTGGCAACTACTCCCCAGCCATACGGTTTGCATTGTTCAGGATCTAAACACAGCTAAAGCTTGGCGATTTTTCCTTTTGGAAGAAACCTTCATGAAAATGATGGCATTTTAAACACGGCCCTTTACTAGGTAATTAAAAACAAGAAAAAATCAGCTTACCATGTGCTAGCCACAAACCACCGAAGTATCAATAAAGCATCAATAAAGGCATTCTAGTTCTCACACAAAGTGGCCTATACTTTATGCTCAGTGCCATCCTTCTCTCCATTCAAACCCTGAAACAGTTAAGCTCCAACAGCCCCAAGGTCAAGGTCATAAGCTACTCCTACTTAGCCAATCACACCAACAGGGAAACAGAAAGTGCCCAGAAAACGCTAATATGGAACCCGCTAGAGCAGGTCTCTCCAGACAAGGGCTTTGGAAGCCACAACAGCCGTGGGCCTACCTTAAGTTCTCTGAAGAAAATACTACTCCTGGCCCACTCCACGATGGAGAAGAGCGTCTGGTCCGCCATCTTGCACATCAGCCCGAATGTGCTCAGCTTCTCATGCTTGCTCCGGTTGGCCTGCTCCTGCTGCAAGTAGGCCATGATCCTGGCCTGCACCTGCGGCTCCTCCGGCTCGCACTTCAAAAGTTCCAGGATGAGCTGCGGGATGCTGGCCGGGGAGCCGGTCTGGTAGCTGTCCACGTAGGAGTAGCCTAGGATGGACTCGGGAGAGCTGCTGTAGGGGTCCGGGTACTCAGACTTGATAGCCCGGCTCGGAAAGTGGCCATATGCTTGGTAACCTTGCAGGCTGCCAGGAGGTGGCATTGTCATGCTAATGGGGGAGGTGACAAAGGGACTTCTGTCGTAGTCTGAGGGAGGCAAGGCAGCGTGGTTCAGAGGTAGGCCTTTGGAGGCAGAGTGCATGTTCTGGATCGCAGAGGAGATGCTCAACTCAGAGGGCATGGCCTGGATCACCTGCGACATGGCTTCCAGCTTCAGTCCATTAGCGCGGATGAGGGCTTTCTTCTGTTGTTTTAGGGCCCTGTCTCGCTTGTACATTGGCCCAAACTTGTTCCTTCCTCCCCGCATGCGGTCGGCTCTTACAGCTGGTGGGGGGGGGGGGGGGAAGGAGGGGTATGAATAAGATGCGAGGGATTGCGGGCTCCAGATCTGCACTCAGGAATGCTGGGATCCCCCAGCAGCCTCTCACACATCCCCGACTGAGGCTTGCCTCCAGCTGTGCCTTGCCATCCGCCTCCTCACGGCAGAACCAACTTCCCCAGTTTTTACCAAGCAGAGGAGATACTTCACACTGCTAACCCCAAATGGCTTTAGGTTTTGTTTTGTTGGAGGAACCACAAACAATAACCCAAGGCCTGTGAATACTTTCCCTTAGAACATCTCCTTCCCTCAGGGCCATTTGTTAACTTTGTTGTAAAAGGGTTAGGCACCTGCCTGCTTGGAAAACTCAGTTTCACCTGCATTTGATGAGTGCCCACCAACTAACCACCACTTATGGCTTTTAACTCTAGCGGAATTGGGCATAATTAAGGTAAATTCATTTCAGAAGCTGTCAGAAGTCTGTGCCACAATGGTGCAGGCTGTCTGGGACGCTGCCTAATAAGTTAGTGAGCAGTTGTCTCTAAAGTCCACAGTGGCCAGTGGCAATTAGATGGAAACCAGAGACCCCTGACAGCCTGTGTCATACTGAAATTGCTGGAGGTTAAGTTTGTGAGCTTTTTATCTTCGGATTAGTATCACATTAAAAATTTATTGTGAATTCTAGGTATCCAGAATGTTGCACAACATCATGAAAGAGTTTCATCTGGATGACGACTTACGGAACATTCAATTGTTTCACACTGCTGGGAAGTGTGCAACTGCACAAGTGACTCAGATAATTAAGCATGCATCATTTTCTAGGTAAAGAAATGCAACTTATTTTATCTTGTTGGAAAAAAAGAAAACACCAAATGAGCTCATGTAAAATCACAACATCTACTTCTTCACCATTTTATCTTCTGGGTCTTGGAGTATATTTTGCAGTTTAGGAAACAGTAAAGCAATTGGTGATAAGGAAATTAATAAGCATCCATTACTTCCTTTTTTGATCCCTTTTTAGAAGCAATATCGACTTTAACAGTCCTCATGATAACCAGAGAGGCTTCTTCTATTTGAAAGGCACCTGTTAGCAATTTGCCAGATTTATTTGTATTTTCTAAGTATTTCTCTGGAGCACGAGCCCCCTGGAACTGCGAAGTTATCAGTGAAAACAGCCTGTGCGCATCGATCAAACCAAACACTCTCTTAGATCTCGCACCATCAGTGATATGCATCTGCCGTTATTGCTTTGGATGCAGTATATTTAATCTGTGGGAAGCCAGCAGGTCACAGGCTGGACAACAGCAACACACACCCTAATAGTCCATGAACTACAAATTATTCACAGCAGTCACACATTAACCTCGCTGCCTGCCAGCCTGTTGCTACAGCGTAGGTTGTGTGCCTTCCACAAAGTTGAGAGGGGCCGTGGAGGGAACACTCTCTCCTTGTCAAACCAGTGCTGTGGATTTATTGGGTCATTCCATTTCATGTTTACTGCTCCTCCATTATCTTATTTTCTATTCAGTTCTTATTTAAAAAAAAAAGGCATTCCTGTACTATCCAAAATGATATTCCACGTGAGAAATTAATAGCAAGCACTATGACAAACACACCTATCAAAAGATGAAAATCAAACTTTTAGTAGCGCCTTCTGATTTGAAAACTTAAAAGGAGGTTTTTTTTAATCTGGAAATAAAAACCGTCATTTGTTCTCAGTTCTACTGCTTCGGTTTTGTTTTCATCTGCCTTTTTCCTTTGGAAGACCAAGCGCCTGTTTCCCAAACTACAAAAACACAGAAACAGAAACTAAGAGGGGAGAGCTCTGGTATCCGAATTTTTCTCCTGAGTAGGTGGCACCACGTTTAAATGAGACTCCAACTAATCTACAGACAAAACCTAAAAAGAGCTCACAGTGTTGTCAGCAGTGCTAAAGACTGGGGAAATCATCTGACCACGCTGTAAGCACACGTTATTCTAAAGTTTGTGTTCTTGGAGAGTTTTGGCATCTTCAGAAGACTTACCTTCCAGCTTCATTCCAACACTCAGACATTTCTGAAATCGACAGTAAGGACAACGCTTTCTCTGTGTTTTGTCGATCTGGCAGCTTTGGTTTTCTATACAAGTGTACCTTTTATTATTTTGGACTGTTCGCTTAAAAAACCCCTATAAGACAGAGAAAATAGTGAGCTGTAGTAGAAACCCCAACACCCGTTTCTTCCATTGTTTCAGTTTAAGGAAATCGGCAGTAAATCCTTGCATTGTGCCCTCTGAGCCCTGGTGTGGTTCTGTGGTGTGTTTTGCATTTCAGCAAGATCAACTCTCCAAAGCACAGCCCTGCCCCAGCAGAGATTTTTTTTTTTTTTTTTGGCATCAGAGTTCTATTCCTCATGAATTACGTCAAATCTTGGGGAGATCTGGCTACAAACCATTGCATCCCCAATAGTCAGAAAAAAAGGACACCATCTTGAGCAGTGACCTTTTACAACCATTTGTTTTCCTCTTCCCTCTGCAGACAGGAACTCAGGGAGAGGTGCGCTGTTTCTAATAGTCTGATACAATTTCAGTGACAAAGTTTTGCAAAATGCCAGTGGGAAAAGCGAACGGTAAAACATCTCAGGTCTTTCACAGATGTCAACACTGGACAGTGAAAAGCACAAGGCTGTAGAGACTAAAATGGGGAAATGCTGAATAATCCCACCGGAATACATTCAAGTGTGGCTTCTCTGTTTTCAAAAGAAGGTGGAACTAACGGAAAAGAAAATCAGGCTTTGAGAATTGTAGCAGAATGGGTGCTTTCCCTGTCTTCCAGGCAAAAGGATTAATCAAAAACAATACTTGTCGCTTTATAACATACCATAGGGCTTGTCTAGGACACTATTTATGTTTATCCTACTAGCCATAAAGTAAAACAATATTACTTTGTTATAGAGAATGAAAAGATTTGCCTGGCAATGGTTGAAGTTAATAGCACTTTTAAAAAGTGTTGGAAAATAGTGAATACTGAATTTACTGGAAATAAAAACCGTCTGAAATAAATTCTTAAAGCATGATTGATATTATTCATAACACAATAGTACCTTTAGTATGTTAAAATCCCTTGCCTTTAAGTTAGGTCATATCCTTAGGAAAATTATTAAACACTAAAATCCAGTTCCTTGATCTTCGTGATAAAAATTTCAAAAAGAAAACCCCACAAATATATTTTTAGAATGAATCAGGATGAAATCATGCAGCTGCGAATTTACTTTTATGTCTGCAGATAAAAAATGTGCAGACTTGTAGCACTGAATACTCTGAAGTTAAAATGTATTTGGGAAACACTTTGTCATGCTACTTCTCAAGAACAAGGATGCTTTAAATATAGATAAGTCAAGCAAAATCAATATTTAGGGCTGTTAGAAATGGAAGTCTTTCTACAGCTCTATCACTTTCCTACAATAAAATATTTGAAGGCCATGAGACTGGCGAAGTTCTCCAAACAGCGTAAATTTCTTTGCCAATTGAACTGAATCAGACACATATTTCTAAGAATCACCTCCCTGGGACTGACTCTCCCTTTCTCTAACAGAGTCGTCAACAGCCTGAATTTAACTGCAGGAAGGTAACCCTGGGAGTGATTTCGGTTTGGAACATTGTACTTCCTGGGGGCAGCCCCGCCGAGCCAACCTTGCAGCTCTCACAGGTGAGCAGTCCATAGTGATAGCCAGACACTTTATCTCCACACACGGGGCACAGCTCCTCGAGGTCTTCATCGTAGGAGTAATTCACCATTTTAAATTGAGACACTGAAACGAGAAGAGAGAGGCATCCGTGTGCAGCTCATGGGCCACATGGGCTCAGATCCTGCCCCCAAAAGCAGCATTTCGGTGACCGGTAGGCAAACCCCAGCCGTGTGGAAACAGTTCTTCACCCAGGTGGCACTGCACGCAACACGTTCTGCACCATAAAAGCGAAACAGCTTTGGGCATCGGGGAACATGCACTTCATTGTTTTTAAACTTGAAAAGATAACTCCAACTTCCTTGGTTAACCTTTTACGCTGACCACCGCTTCCTAAGTACACAAGCTTCCTAAGTCTGCGAAGCCAACAAACCACCACAGCGGCCAGCGTGGGCTGCACAAAGTATCAACTACAACCGCACGCATCTGTCAATTCCAGTGCCTAAGGCAGCGAGCACGGAGTTCGCGTCCAAGGCCCCTGGCCGGCCAGGCCAGCGCCTGCCGCGTGCGGACCCAGGACGCCCCCCGCGTGAACAGCCCGGGGCTCCCGGGCTTCGGCGCGGTCCCATTCATCGAAACGCTCAGTCCCGCATCGGCTCACGCTGGAAAACCTGTGAAAACAAGTCCAAAGGGCGGACGCGCGGGCGGGAGAAAAAGAAACAACAGCAGGGGGAAAGCCACGCACCGTGAGCTAGGGTTCGGTCTCGCGGCCCAGCCCTGAAGGCCTGCAGTGAACTTCACGAGCTTCCGATCATCTCGGCAAAACCGTGAACACCTGCAGATCGCCCCAGCTGAGGCCCAACAGCACGCAGGACCCGGCGACCCGCGCGCGGCCCGCGGCGGGGATGCGGTCTCCCCCAGCAGCGCTGGGCGCAAACCCCAGGGCGTCTCCGCAGCTGTGCACCGGCCGGGCTCCGGCCAGGGGACCCCCGCAAATACCTGATCCGGCCCCTCCCCGGGGCTCCTCATCCACGCGGGTCCCGTCCCGCAGCGGCCGAGGGGCAGGTCCTCCTCGGGCCCCGCTCTGGAAGCCCCCGGGCGCAGCCTCGGCTAGCCAACCCGCGCACCAACACCGGCCCGGGTTTGTTTGAAGTTAATCAGTGGCGTTGGCGGTGCCGCGGGGCGGGGCGCGGGGGTGGGGAACTCGTGGCCGGGCCCAAGTTTCTCCCGATTTGTTTACCAAAAAGGAAAGAGAGAAACAGCCCCCATGGCCTGTGGCAAGTACCCCGCCGCTCCAGCGCGCCTTGACTGTCTGAAGTTCCGTCTCTCTCTCTGGCTCTGGGGACGCGCGGGGGGTCCCTGGCGGCGCTGGCCGCGCGCGGGCCGGAGTAGCGGAAGCGGCTCTACTGTGGCCGGAGTTGGAGGAGAAACCGGAGCGGGCGAGCGCAGCCGGGTCAGCCCGAGCCCCAGCCCTGAGACCCCCAGGCTAGGGCTTTCGGGGACTGGGAGTGTTGGAGAAGTTCGTTTCCAAGCTCCTAGACACTTCCCGCTCTCCCGAAACTTGTGGCTGCTGTCACCCCCAAACAACGCACACTGCAGTTACCCTCAAAAGGCGCAGATCGGCCACCGCTCACGGTGGGGGACTCGCCGGCCAGCTCGGGGGATCTGGGATGAGGACCCTCTAGAAAAACCCAAAGACAGAGCACGAGGCGGGAGAGAGGCGCCGCGCCTTGCGAGGCCCCGGTGCCCCGGGGCGGCCCCCGTAGGCGTTCAGAGAAACGGACGCGTCCGGAGAAGGGACGGCCTCAGAGGGGCGCGCGGCGCGGTCAGGGGACCCAGTGGCAGATCCTCTTCCCGGGGCCTCCCCACGGATGCGTCTCAGGCTGGAAGCAGATCAAGCGTAGGAATGGGGACCCCGGTCCCCAAGGGGCTCCTCCGAATCCACAGGCCGCGTGCCCAGCCGCTTCCCACGCTGCTTTTGAACCCAGGGCTGAGCGGGCGGCCCGCGCGTTCTCCTGGGCCCTGGGCACCAAGCCCCGCTGACTCTCCGGGCTGGGGCCAGTGACTGGGGTGGAGAGGGCCCCGTTCAACCTTTACAAGGGAAGTGTGGCGACGGCTTTCGCCTCCCCTACTTGGCGCTCCACCGACTCCCAGGGGTTCATAGCGCGCCCGGTGCAAAAGCAGAAAGAAAAGTTCCCTTTCGGACCCGAGCACCGTGCCGGCCTCCTCGGGCGGCCCAAAGGCAGGCCTCTCTCGGGAGCCCGCGGCGGAGGGGGTCCGGCCCGGCTTCCTCGCGCCGCTCGTCCCTCACTCCCCACCCCTACTCGGCGGCAACCCCAGGTGCCCCGAGGAGAAGCCTCTTTGGGCCAGCCGGGTTCCCCCAGGGGGCACACCCCCAAGCGGGTCTCAGGGCAGGGGCCTCCCACAGCTCTACCTGGAGACTCGGAAGGACCCCAGGATCCAGGAGGATGGCGACCGCCCCTCCCGCGGAGCGCCCTCGCCAGCGGGGACGTCGGGTCTCCCGGCCCCAGTGCCTCGCGCGCGCCGCCTCCCCCGCACCGCGCCGAAGGCGCCGGCCCTGAACTCTGCTCTCAACACCTCCCCCGGCCCTTTCAAGTTCGCACAAGGGGATGGCAGGAAGCGCTCGCGGATCACAGGCCCGCCGGCCCGCACATCCTGCGCGCTGGGCCGGGCGAGGATGGACGAGCGCCGCCGACTTTTCCTAGCATTGTTCCCTCCCCGGCCCGGAGCAAACGCCATAAACTTCCGAAGGGCTTCGTACAAGCCTGATCTGGAGGCGGAATCGCCAGCGGGATTTGATTTTTTGTTGTTGTTATCAGCAATCAAGAGCTGGGAAAAGAAAGGGTCTGTGCAGATGCCCGGGTCGGGGGCGGCACGCTGGCGGCCCCCCGCACCTCTCCGGGCACCACCCGCGCAGGGCACCAGACTGGGGCAACTTTGCTTTCCTCAGCTCTGCCAGCTGCTTTGACGTCGTCCAAATCCGAGCCGGCTCTCGGGGCCTGCCTGGCCTTTAGGGGGGTGCCCCAAGCACCGAAGCCCGCGCAAGCAAGCGTCTCCGAACCCACCCCCTCCTGCGGGTGGCTGTCCCGGGCGGAGCGTTCTCCCTCCGCACGGAGCTCCGGCCACAGTGCGCGCGGGCTCCAAGGAGCGAGGACCTGCTCCGGCGTCTGTCGGCCACCCCCCGCCTTACGATGACCTTAGCATTCCGGAGACCCTATGCCTTCGACTGCCCGGGCTGGAGCAGCCACGCGGCTCGGAGCCCGCCCTTCTCTTAATTAGAAGCGGGCAATTAGACACTGCTTGGAAAACCTCTGCCCCGCATTGTTCAAGAGCCATCAACTTTAATGCCTGCCCCTGAGGGGGAGAAGCGCCGCCCCGCAGCCCCCGGCTGAGTGCCCCCAGCCCGGCTCCGCCGGCGCCCGCGCCGGGCGGGAGGCTGCAGCCCGCAGGGCGAGCCCGGGGGCGGAGAAGCCGCCGGGGCCCGAGCGCCGCGGCGCCGCCTTACCTTGCATGTTTTCCGGCATCTGCCCCTGTTCCCCATGCGACCGAGCCAGTCCCAGCGCTTCCGTCTCCACTTTGGGCAGCATGACAAGGCGGCCGCGGGCGGGAATGGGGCGTCCGCGTCGGTCCGGAAGCCCAGCACCTGGACACGGGCAGCAGAGATTCAACTCCGGCCGAAAGAAGAAAGGGGCGCCCGGGGCGCCCGCTCACCGTCCGCCTCCTTCGGAGCTGCGGGCAGCCGCCCGCGAGCTGCGAGAAAGGCGAAGACCACGGCGTCCGCGCTCCCCGGCTGCGCTCCGCTCGGCCAGGGCGCGGGCGGCGGCGCGGGCGCGGGCGCAGCTGCCAGGGGCGCGGAACCGCGGGGGACAGCGCTGCGGGCAGGCGGCGGAGGCGGCCGCGGGGCTGCTCCCGCCTCCGCGGCGGTGCGCTGCGGCCGCTCCCGGACGGCCGGGCGACTCCTTCCCCTCCCGCCACGCGCCCTCTGGCTGGGGATCGGCAAGGGTCGGTCTCTCTCTCTCTCTCCCTCTCTCTCTCTCCTCGCCTCACTTCTCCTCGCCTCTCCGCCCCTTCCCTCTATCTCCTTCTGCCGCCCTCGCTCGCTCCCTATCACAAGTGCGGAGTTCTGAAGTTGCAACCTCCCTCCTCTGCCTCGCCTGCTCTCTCTCGCGTCCGAGAGCGGCCTCTCCAGCCCCGAGGGTGGCGGTGCTGGGAAGGGAAGGGGAAGAGAGGAGGAGACGGGAGGTAAGTAGGGCCGGGGTGGGGGAAAGGATGGGATGCGGGGCTCAGACGGTCACTGGGGACGCGGGTTTCGGACTCGGGTCGGACACTCGCGGCCAGCCAATGAGGATGCTTCAGTCCCCTCGCTGCCCCAACCTCTTCACCCGCCTTACCCCCCTCCCACCGCACCCTGGCCCGGGGCGGGGGCTGTGCACGCTGCCGGGGCTTACTGCTTACGAGAGGCGACCTCTGAGCGCCGCGGCGAAGGCGAGGGAACCAGGGCGTTGCGCGAGCCCAGGGCAGCGGGCGGGACTGGGGCGCGCGTGGGCGTGGGCGTGTTGCGAGCCCTCGATGCACCCCGGCTGCGGAGGCTCAGGGGACTTAAACACCCACTTAGAAAACCCGAAGGAGAACGGGGATGTTGAATTATGCTGACCGCGCTTCTCAACCCCACTGTTGGTGCGCTGTAAGGGGGAGGGGGGTCTCCTGGTCTCTTTCCCCCCAGCCCTCCCCCTCCGAGCCACGCGGTCGGTGGAGAGGCCACGCCACCGGGGCCACAGAGCGGTCGCGTCTCCGAGATCCTGGGAATTCGGGGAAGAGGCAGCTGCTCCTGTTCTCTACCCCCTCCTTCGCGCACTAACGACCCCGGACGCCGGGCCAGGATTCCGTCGGCGGCAGGCTTCTAGCTGGGGCGAACTGCGTTTACATATAAATTGCAAAGATCGGCCCGGGCTTCCCTTCTTCCTTCTGGGGTCTCCTTGGTGGGACGGATCCGCAGGAGACCCAGAGGCTCGGCGTTAAAAAAAAAAAAAAAAGTTTTTAAAGAACCATCTGTTGTGCGAGCTCTTCGGCCACCAGCCCCAGCCACATCTTCAAAGTTTTCCGATGTCACCCCAACAAGATGAAAAAAATTCCCTCCAGCCTCCGGAGTGCAGGCGAAAAGCCTCATTTTCAGGGTCTGCTGTGCAAACGGGTAATTATCAGAGTCCACCCACAAGGGGGTGAATTTGAATCTCAAAAGACCTGAATTTATTCTATTTCAATGGCACAGAGCTCACACATTCAAAACTGTCAGGGCTAGGATTTGATGCTTTAGGAATTATTTCAACCGTTGTGGTGCAGCATTTACACTTTTGTAGGAAATTGGTCACCCACCCACACCTGGTAATTTCAGATACCATGAACCCTCTCAACTGATCTGTCGTTTTACATATGTATGTTCAGAATCTGAGTTATTGAAATATCAGCTTTAGTGGCAACTTCAGGTTCTATGGAAACAAACTCAGGCCTGGCCATCAGCTGGGAGGGGTAGACGAAATTTGCCATAGAGATTTCCCTGACAGTGTCAGGTCACACTGTGCACACCTGTTCAGTATGACCAGTTGTTTTAAATGTCATTGTGAGTTAAAGCTACATTTTCTTACCTAGTTAAGAGAGGGAGTCAGCGACACGGCTGGAATCGGTGCTTGCCCTGCCTTGGACTGGGTGAGCTGTGAACTTGGGAACCGATTGAAGGCCAGCCGCCTGGCCAGGAGCTCCCGAGACCACTCCACCTGCCAGCCTGGCCAAGATGCAGGGCAGCTCTGGCCGCTGGGCGCAGGGCTGGCCGGGTGATGGAGAAAGGACCTGGCTGGGAGAGCCGAAGGCAGTTGGAGTGCAGCACCACGCAGGTGCAGAGTGACAAGAAACTTTGCTTTTAACTGCAGCCTGAGGCTGGCCTAGAGAGGCGGACGCTGTGGGCACGCTCGTGTCTGTCACCCACTCCGGGGCGGCACGGGCCACTTCTGACCCTCACCACACCCCGCAAAAACCGGCCAACGGCTAGCATGCACCGCCCTGCGCACAGGTGGGCTTCCTAAGGAAGAAAAATGCTCACCGCCTGGGAGGGGTGGCAGGGGCTGGGGTGATGAGGAGAGGACCGGGAACTTCTCGCCGCTGGGAGGGTCTGGTCTCAGTGGCCGACGGAGCGGGGGACAACGGGAGAGTTCTTTTCTAAGAACCGAAGGAGCCTTTGCCTCCAGGGAGAGAAAGGTACCCCCGGGGCCAGAAAACCCCGCCTGCGTTGCATGAGCTGGGCTCTTGTCGGAGACCTCTCCCCGCGCCACTCCTTAAGTACTTAGGGCTGCAGGCGCGGGCGGGGGTGCGGCGGCACCTCGCTGGCCCTTCCAAGCCCTGGACCGGCCTCCCTGCCTCGTGAACGCCCTCCTTCGGGACCCGCTGGGCAGCGCCCCTTAAAGCCCGGACCCACTTGCTGGATGACCCTGGATCGTCCTGTGCGCCCCTCTACCCCCCTCCCAGGCCCTCTTCCAGGGAAAGCTGGGGAGGGGTCTAGGCCTCCGAGGCCACAGTTTGAGGCGAGATCCAAGTGGCCGTGGGAAAAGTATGCAGTGCAGGTGGCAGCCGGTGGACAGGGCAGTGATCTGGACTGACCAACACGCGCCCTGGGCGCGGACATCCAGAGGCTGCCCATTCTTCCCGGGCCCCTGAACCCGAGGCGCAGACCAGAGACCGCGCTGCGGCTGGCTAGGGAGGCAGCTCTGGCTCCAGCTACCGCGCGGCCCTCAGCCAACTTCTGGCAGACTTCTCTCGCTTCCCTCCACCCGCCGCCCCCTTTCCGACGAGTCAGGTCTCCGGGGCTCGCCCTTCCCGCTTCTGACTTTGAAAGTGTTGATTGACGGTTGCAATTACGAAGGCTGATGGCTCGGGGAGGCTCCCGCAGCCTTGATGAGCCCAAGAAGCGCAGTCCTGGCATATTTTATCCTAGCTTGGCGTTCCGGGGCCGTGCGCGCGCCCCATTCACCCATCTGCCTAGGGCCGAGAAGGTCCCGCACTCCCCACCCGCGCGAGGATGCGATCGCGTGCTCTCTCCACACGTCCGCCTCTCCGCGCGGCAGTTCCCTGCGTGCGCCGGGAGAAGCCTGCCCTTGCCGGATCCGGCTTGGTGCGCATCTCCCGTGCGGAGCGCGTGGGCAAGAGAGGCCAAGACCTGCGGGGGCGGCCCGGGGATCCTGGGTTCGGCGGGCCAGCGGGCCAGCGGGCCAGGCATGGCTTTCCCGCGCGCCTGGTAGATGCAGCGCCGGGCGA